AGTGTTTGAATAAAGAATGTAGTTTTACAAAATACAATAGGCCTAATACTAAGGTGTTATGACAAGTATAATTAATTACAATCATGCTTAAAATACAATAGGCCTAATACTAAGGTGTTATGACAAGTATAATTAATTACAATCATGCTTAAAATACAATAGGCCTAATACTAAGGTGTTATGACAAGTATAATTAATTACAATCATGCTTTGCCAGTTTAGAAACAATGTTCACACCATAGCATTTGTTTTTGTAATAAATATAAATAGTGTTTGAATAAAGAATGTAGTTTTACAAAATACAATAGATCTAATACTAAGGTGTTATGACAAGTATAATTAATTACAATCATGCTTTGCCAGTTTAGAAACAATGTTCACACCATAGCAGTTGTTGATGCATAATTAGGCCTAAAATATACGAGAAGCCTCATTCTTTTGACCGTCCCAATATTTAAAAAATTTGTTTGGTATATTTCTTCTCTTGCGGACAAAAAATTTCTACATTTTGCTTAGAAACATTTGGCTTTAAAACCAACCTTAGTAAATCATCTTGCACGTTTCAGCTTTTGCAAATTAAGTAATTTATTTTACATTATCTCACTTCCCCATTTCATTAACTTGGAATCCTGCCAGTTTTACATCTAATAAACCTTCTGTTGAGCTCTAACAACATGAAAACTAATATAAAGGTATTGTCGACAAAAATATGTCACGTAAGCAGAAAAATTATTTATGCTATATATGCACATATAATTATAATAACAAATACAAAACACATATGTTGATAAGAAAATGCTTAAGAAATTAATTTGTTCCAAAAATAATGTATACTAAATATTCCTTAGTAAACCAGCAAATTATAACATTTAATTTGAAAAAAAAAAGAAAAACATCATTATCATCATCACAAGTTATCAACTTATTAGCTCAAAGTGTATAATATCCACAGGCTTAGGATAAGTAATCTTTCAGAGAATCACATCATTTAAAATCTGTATAATAAAATAACATGTCAACATGTCATCGCCCTGAGAACCACACCATCCCAAATCTGTATAATAAAATAACAAGTCAAATACCTAGATTAAGTCATCGCCCTGAGAACCACACCATCCAAAATCTGTATAATAAAATAACAAGTCAAAATACCTAGATTAAGTCATCACCCAGGGAATCATATAGCCTTTAATCTATAAAACAAAAAAAAAGACATTTACAGGAAGTTGTATTTATTTAGAAACGTAGATAAACTATAAACGTACTTTAAAGACTTGTGTTTTCTGTATTTCTGATTGTAGGGAGCCAGTATTATTAGGATGATGAATCATTTCCTCGGTGAAGAGAACTTTAGAACAGGTTTAACAGTAAGTTTGATTCACTTTGTGTTTTACTACTTAAAAGGAACTCAGTGATTTAAAAATATATGTTTCTAAATGAGAGTTATATTATAAAATTATGTTTAACAGATTATACCCTAAGTGAGAGTTATATTATAAAATGCGTTGTTTAATAGATTATACCCTAAGTGAGAGTTATATTATAAAATGCGTTGTTTAACAGATTATATACCCTAAATGAGAGCTATAGTTATAAAATGCGTTGTTTAACAGATTATATACCCTAAATGAGAGTTTTATTATAAAATGCGTTGTTTAACAGGTTATATACCCTAAATGAGAGTTATATTATAAATATGCGTTGTTTAACAGATTATATACCCTAAATGAGAGTTTTATTATAAAATTATGTTTAACAGATTATACCCTAAGGGAGATTTTTATTATAAAATGCGTTGTTTAACAGATTATGTACCCTATGCGTTTCAAGAATGAGGATTTTCACACCTAAATGTGATTATTTATCATGGAAGTTTTTTTTATAAAAAAATACACTGCGACATCTCAGTCGTTAAAAAACATGATACTGTTTGCTGTATTTTCTATGTACTTTATATGTGAACAAAATGCGTGTTTAAGTTTCAGATAAGTAAAACACGTGTATTTTAACTATTTGAAGATAAACTGTACACCAATAACTCCGATGTTAAATAAGTTTACTGTCAAATAGTTGAAACTGCTTACGTATTAGCTAAATAAATAAAATAGACTGAAAATCAGGCGTTGATTATTAAACATATTCTAAAACATTACCCTCACAAACAGACAAAGTTACATTTCGTTAATAAGATGAAAATCTGTTACAAAAATACATTAGTTTATAGTACGCTGTCGTAATTTTATATAAGAACCAGGTTACACTACCATACAGGACGGTTAGTTCTGTTACATACACAGTTAAGGTTACATTAGTTCCAAGTACAGGGTAGTTTCGTCACAAACACAGAACACCTTACATTAGTTCCAAGTACAGTGTAGTTTCGTCACAAACACAGAACACCTTACATTAGTTCCAAGTACAGTGTAGTTTCGTCACAAACACAGAACACCTTACATTAGTTCCAAGTACAGTGTAGTTTTGTCACATACAGCCGTTTCATTATTAAAATAGTCGACATTTGGAGACTTTACGCGTAAAAAAAATAGATTTTCGTTCAGTGATACTAAGGCTAGTTTATTAGTTCCTAAAGCTTTTCTTTTTTTTAATGTTGTCAACGTTACTGATTTTTATATACAATGTTGCATTTTCCAGAAATATTTGATCGACAGATCATACAAAAATGCTGTTCAAGATGACCTTTGGAAACATCTTACAATGGTAATATTTTTCAATTGCATTTTTATTTTTGTTTTTATAAATAAAGGAGGGAGTATAGAGGATATAAAGTCATGATGAAACGGAATGTATCCGAACTGAATTTGGACGTTGTTTGACATTACGTAGGTACTGTGATCCCACCGAAAATTCGTCGCTTCTGCGATATTTATGTAACAGTCTTTTCCAACTCAAAATATTCATACACTCAAATCATAAAGATGGTTGGTTGGTTTGTTTGGTTGTTATTAAGCTCAAGGCTACACACTGGGCTATCTGTGCTCTCCCCACCACGGGTATCGAATCCCGAATTTTCATCTCGTAAGCCTTCAGACTTACTGTTAAGCCACTGGGGGCTTATAAATATGTATTACGATTGAACATTTAGAATATCCAAAACAGATATATCACTTGTACTTAATGACTTTGGAAAACAAAGGGATATGGATCAATTTGGGGCACCAGGATCATCCAGAAAGAGTCTTACAACGAGTCGAACTCCAGCGTGGTAAGCAAAGTGTGGTGTCTTGTGACACATGAAAATCTACGAATACATGGTTAGTGGTAAAAACCGTCCATGAGCCTCGAGAAACAGTATCCAACATAAAATAGAAGCATTTCCGTCTGGAAAAGAAACACAAGTCACAAATTGCTTCCAAGACACATAATCTCAACTGATGCATACTTGAAACAGTTTGGTAATGACAAGAGTATTCGTGATATTTGATAAGAAGACATACTGGTCAAATCACGGACCCCAACGCCTATGGACTTTGGTGAGATCATACTGTTGGAACAGGCGGAGGGAACTGTAGTTTTCGTACACTACACGAATGATGAAAAACTGAAAGGGAGGAGGGGTGTGCTTGGAACATGACAGCCTTACTACAGAGTTTTTTGCAATGGAAACTAGGAAGCAGGGCTATTGTCAAGATGCACAGTCGTCAGATAAAACGTGATTGGACATAGCGACATGGTGAGGCTCCAAAATAACTTTAATATAACATACTAAATCTCTATTATTGTTACTTTGTGTGTTTTCTTTAAATATAGGTTTCTGAGTAAACTCTATAAACATGTCAACGTATAGGTGTTATCTTATAGGTCCTGAGTTTCTGAGCAGACTCTATAAACATGTTCATATATAGATGTTATCTTAAACGACAAAGGTGAATGATAACTGGTTTTAAAGTTAAAAGCTAATAAGAATACAGTTTTATACTGTTATCACTGACAAAAACACTTTAGACACAGCTAAATTGAGCATAGATACAGTTGCAGTGGAAACGTTATAGATAAATGGGACAATGTGGTGGGAATATACAGCTATAGCAGGCATTTTGTACGGAGACTTTATACTTATAGCTATAGCAGGCATTTTGGATGGAGACTTTATACTTATAGCTATAGCGGGTACTTTGTACAGATACTTTACACTTATAGCTATAGCGGGCACTTTGTACGGAGACTATACTTATAGTTATAGCGGGCGCTTTGTACAGATACTTTATACTTATAGCTATAGCAGGCACTTTGTACGGAGACTTTATACTTATAGCTATAGCAGGCATTTTGGACGGAGACTTTATACTTATAGCTATAGCAGGCATTTTGTACGGAGACTTTATACTTATAGTTATAG